CTATAGAATATATACAAATATAATTAATTACGTCTTTTGAAGAGATAACAGTAATTGGACTAAGATTCTAATTTAAATTTAATTATAATGGAGAGAATCTAAGTGTGCATTAAAGCAAAACACAACAAAAACAAAAAAATTGTTTATAATTTCTCTAATCTGTATTAGTCATGGATTTTCTCCCAAAACAAAATTTAGTAACCCAAATCTTGTTTTACGTTGATCTTTGAACTGAAATTGAGATGAACTTTATTACGTAGGAAGTAAAAAAATGTAAGGAAAGGAAACGAAATAAATTCATATTTTTTTGGTTTTGTTTGTGTGAGCGCGCGTGCGTTCGATGCGAGAGTTGAAGAGGTCATGATGCAGTGTGCATGTGTAGTATTATATATATACATTTCTATATCATCATAGATAGATAGTTTGCTCCTCTCTCCATCAACTTGAACCGCCGCTCCCCGTCTTCATTTTTCTACGGTCAATGATCGACTCGGTGACTTTTAGCTTTCGTTATCAATTTACAATATCCGCTGCATTAAACTTATATATTTTATACATTATTGGTGTACATGCATGCATGATGCATCCGTCTTCGTACGTCGTCGTCTTCATCTCTGAGAAAAAGCGAGATAACAACTTTTCATTCAGCCTTATTTATTTATTTATTTCTTATTTACGTCGAGGAATTTCGCAGTTATCGGCAGGAAATCGTAGACGGTTTTTGTTACACTGAACCAATTTTCTTTTACGCAACATTTCAAACTATTCCAATCTCCATAGCAACGAATCAAACAAATTATTTAAATACTTATTGATATGTCGTCTCCATAGTAACGCATGTAATAAAATCAAGTAATCGATTTATTTGCTTGTTTTTTTTTTATATAATTTTACATGAAATTACTTTTGAAATATTTTAATCATTTTCCTATTTTTATTAATATATAGTAGCAACATTGCTTCAACTGTTTTATTAGATCATGTATTAATTGATAAACATCTCCATAGCAACGCATTAAACAAATTGTTCCATTCAGTAATGCAAGTTTCCATTTTTTTTTGTTTGTTTATTAATTTATACTTATTTGTTATTCTTCAGATATTAAAAGTTTGGTTATGTCTGAAAATTTAAAACTTTGCATCAATTGAAGCTTGATTTTATTTGAAATCCAACGATTTTAATCAATTAAGTGCAGTGTTTTTAAATTCTTATTGATACGTCATTTCCATAGTAACGCATGCAATAAAAACAAGCAATCGATTTATATATAGTTTACATTGCTTCGTGTGTTTTCTTTATTAAATACTTATTGATATGTCATTTCCATAGTAACGCATGCATTAAAAGCAAGTAAACGATTTATTAATTCAATAACAAATTTTAATTATTTGTAAATTTTTATATCACATTTTTTGTCAGTATTAAAAATTGTTTCATCTGTTTTTTTTTTTATTAAATAATGTATTAATTATTACAAATCTCCATAGCAACGTATGTATAAAAACATAGATTATTGTTGCTATTCCAATGACATTTTCATTATAAATTTATACTCATTTGTTAAACTAATTAAACAGATTAAAGAAAAACAATTTGTTGTAAATATTTTTTATACTTGAATTACTTAATAAATAACTCTTTTTTTTTTGGACATTTGTCATTTTTTAACAATTTGTATTGGTCAAATCATTTGTCACATAAGTTTCCATAGCAACGTTTATAACAAAATCATTTAAACTATAACATCCATCTTTTTTTTATTGAATCAATTGTTACGACAAATTATAAGTAAAAAAATACATTTCAAATGATATTTGATCATTTTTTTTTCATAATTTAAAATTAATTTCCAATTACTGCACTAATTTTAAAGCAGCAATTTTAATCGCTTTTGTACTGTTACATTGTTTATGTTTGTATAACCTCGCGTGTTTTTAAAATATAACTTATTGATTGACAGATGTCATCGTAAACTTCATAGCAACGTATATAATAAAATCTGTTGTTATGAATGAATATGATGATAGATTTTGTTATTGAATTGAACCAATTTTAATGTTACAAAATTTAGTTCAATAATTATCGTTTTTTTTTTATTGATAATTTAAAATTAAATTAAATAATTGTGTTTTCAATATACAAAACCAATTTTTCAGTATTAATTAATGATTTTAATCGATTTGATATTATTACATCTGTATACGTACATAACCTCTTCTGTTTTTCTTAATTGACAGATGTCACCTTAAACTCCATAGCAACGTATATAATAAAATCTGTTGTTATGAATGAATATGATGACAGATTTTGTTATTGAATTGAACCAATTTTAATGTTACAAAATTTAGTTCAATAATTATCGTTTTTTTTTATTGATAATTTAAAATTAAATTAAGTAATTGATTTTTCAATATACAAAACCAATTTCGCTGTATTAATCAATGATTTTAATCGACTTAGTATTGTTACATTTGTATACATACATAACCTCTTCTGTTTTTCTTAATTAACAGATGTCACCTTAAACTCCATAGCAACGTATGTAATAACATCTGTATGAATGATTATGATGACAGATTTTGTTACTGAATTGAACCAATTTTACTGTTACAAAATTTATTTCAATAATTGTTTTTTTTTATTGATAATTTCAAATAAAATTAACTAATTAATTTTTCAATATACGAAACCAATTTTGCATTTAAATAGATTTGGTATAGTTACATTTGTCTACGTACATAACCTCTTGTGTTTTTATTGATTGACAGATGTCACCTTAAATTCCATAGCAACATTGATTTAATTAAAAAATAAACTACAAATCTTCTAATTAAGTAAATTAATTAAACATATATCATTTATATATTATAAAACGTTTAAAATTATCAAAATCTGTATAATAACAAACAAACAAAATATTTGTGTTATGACATTTCAAAATATTTTATTTTGTTGTTATAAGTTGCTATGGTGAACGAATTGTTTTCTAATTAACTTTAAGTATTTTATTAATTTAATTAAAAAAAAAAAATTTTGAATTACCTCCACAGTTTTCCAAGGGTTTTTGATAGTTCAGCGTTGTGCAATTGCGGATATTGTTCGGCCAATTTCCGTCTTGCAGCTTGCGCCCAAACCATAAAAGCATTCATCGGTCTCTTCACGTGCAATTTCCTCTTGTCCGACGATGCCCTAAACAGAAAAAAAAACAATTTTACTAACAAACAATACTATAGTGATTTACATACAAAATCTCTACAGTTACAGTTAAAATCTATATAGTAATTACAAAATGTTAAGATTTTCAATTTATATACTTCAATTAACTCTTGAGATAAAAGCTTCTATATAGAGAAGAAAGATCAATGTTGAAAATTGAAATGTTTTGAACATAATTGCAGATTTATTGAATTGAGTTGTATTTCTGTGCGATTCCTTCACAGTTTAACTGAAGCGCAACGCTCGTAAATCAATTATATGAACACTTACAATGTACAACACAACGTTTCTCGGTATTTCCAGATAGCAGACGAACAAGAATTAATTAATAAACTAATACAAATTAGTTGAAGCAAAAAGTCTATTTCAATTCCTTCAGAACCTCATCCTCCTCCTCCATAATAATAATAATCTCCTATTTTTAGGTTAATTAATTAAGCGTAATGAGCGGAAATTTATCAAGTCGAAGAAATTTCCATTCCGAATTTCCACTGCCAAGAAGACAGTAAATGTTTTATTTTTATTTGCGTGCGCACGAAAAAAAGATGGAAGAAGAAAATTAATCTCGGCGCTCCGAAAATAATCGAAAAACGAAAACGATAAATCCTCAGAATTATTTGTTTCGTGATGTGTTGCCATGGTTTTACTGATCCCTTGACTTGCCTTACCGCACTCGTAATTGCCGTGGCATGCTGCCATGGTTACGTAACTGGCAAATTACTTAGTGTCGGCACTCGTATTGATGTCATGGTAACAACGTAAATAAGATAAAGGACTCGGATGCCAGAGAAGAAAGGAACGAAAACAGAACTTGGAACAATAAACGGAAAACAGACTTTTAGCACAATTTTTTTTTATGTTTGTGAATTTGTTTCTGTCCCGCGTGACTTGATGCCATTTCGTTTTGGCTTCAGTTCCTCGAAAGTATCCAAAAAGTGATTTATAATAGTAGAAAAATGTCTTGATTTATTATACATCTTCGTTAATTTTCTTTACGTTCTTGGATTTTTACATGTTTATTATAGGAAATTTTCTCATCTTTTAATCTTATAACAAACAAATTTTAAAAAAATATAAAATTAAGAGTTTACAATACTAAAAAATTAGTATTAAGTAAGGAAAAATTGTAAGAGTTGTCTCGTTTAAACAGAAACCTGCAACCAAAACAATTTTTTTGTTTCTGTTCACTCTCTTTTATTCTGATACCGCATATTAACAAATGAGCTGCGTTTATTTGGTTTTGAGTTTGTGATGGGTTCGCTAAAATAATTCATAATTTCTTACATAAATAGTTGCGCGCACTAAGTGAAAAGGCGCTCTTTCTCTCCTCCCGTTTTCGACGACTAATTAACAGGTGCAGGTTAATTAGCGCGGATGGAAATTGATGCTCGCTCATCTCTTCGCTTCGGACCTTAGAAATTCGCTCGGACTGAAAGTGCTTTCAGAACGACAATTTTTCGCACCTTTTCCAAACATTTTCAGCAAATAAGTGCAGATCTGAAGATCTAATATTTGCATGTCTAAAAACCAATTCGAAAGTTTGATTTGTCGTTTAAATATTTTGATATTAATATTGATTGATTAACTTGAAAATATGAAAAAATATTTAATAAAATCATTAATTATTAAAAAAAATGAATATTCTTTTCTACATTTTTTCACAATAAATTTTGTACTTACTAAAGATGTTTTATATCTGTGTAATTTTGAATATTATCAGTTTATATAAGAATTTAAGAAATGTATGTTCATTAACTAAATATTGAATGTTTATATGTACAAACGTTTTCATTATTTGTAAATTTCATTCATAAATCTTATTCAAAAATTGTATATTACAAAAACACATGCTGAATTGTTATAAATATTCAAACATTTTGTGTTGTTTAATGTTCCTTTTAGTTTTTCGGTTTGTTAATTAAGTACAATTCTTTGAAAGCTTGATTGATATTGAAATGTTCTGTTTTTCTAAGAACATTTATTAAAGATATTTTAAATTTTCTTATGTATAACTGATTTGATGTTGAAATTAATAGTGAAAATGGTTATCTTTACAAACTGCTTCGTTTAATATATAGATTTAGGATGTAATTAACTATTTAGTGTAGATACAAAGATGAATTTGAACGAAATTTAATGATTTAGTTTGTATCAATCATAGTAATTTAGATATGATTGAATTAGAAACTAATTCTTATAAGTTATAGATTCAAAATATTATTAACTATTTAGTATGTATAAATTGTTGATCAAAATCTTAAAAACCTTAAAAACATTCATTAAATATTTCCTAATTAGTTTGATTTCATTAAGAAATATGAATTAATACATGATTTAGTTTGCTGTTAATACTAGAAAAGTGCGTGTTTTGATGTGTCTTCTTAGGAGAGTGTGGATATCTTTAAATTGTTTCAAACATATAGATTTAACTATTTAGTATGTTTACATATTTCATTGAAATCTAATTTTACATTTCTCTACGAAAAATTATGAAACATTCCCTTAATTAGTTGAATTTCTTAAAGAAATATGAATTAAAGTATTATTTAGTTTGTTGTAAAACATAGAAATTTACAATATTTTGTAATTAGTTTAATTTCATTAAGAAATATGAATTAATACGTGATTTAGTTTGCTGTTAATACTAAAAAAGTGCGTGTTTTGAAATGTTTTCTTAGGAGAGTGTGGATGTCTTTAAATTGCTTCAAACATACAGATTCAACTATGAAAAATTATGAAACATTTCCTTAATTAGTTGAATTTCTTTAAGAAATATGAATTAATGTATTATTTAGTTTGTTGTAAAACATAGAAATTTACAATATTTTGTAATTACTTTAATTTCATTAAGAAATATGAATTAATACATGATTTAGTTTGCTATAAATATTAGAAAAGTGCGTGTTTTGAAATGTCTTCTTAGGAGAGTGTGGATGTCTTTAAATTGCTTCAAACATTCAGATTTAACTATGAAAAATTATGAAAAATTTCCTTAATTAGTTGAATTTCTTTAAGAAATATGATTTCATGTATTATTTAGTCATAGAAATTGGCAGCTGTAACTTATAGATTCAGAATGTTATTAACTAATTAGTATATTTTAATCTAAATCTATAGTATTTATTTAATATTTTGTAATTAGTTTAATTTCATTAAGAAATATGTATTAATACATGATTTAGTTTGCTATTAATACTAGAAAAGTGCGTGTTTTGAGATGTCTTCTTAGGAGAGTGTGGATGTCTTTAAATTGCTTCAAACATGCAGATTCAACTATGAACAATTATGAAAAATTTCCTTAATTAGTTGAATTTCTTTAAGAAATATGATTTCATGTATTATTTAGTCATAGAAATTTGCAGCTGTAACTTATGGATTCAGAATGTTATTAACTAATTAGTATGTTTTAATCTAAATCTATAGTATTTTGTAATTAGTTGAATTTCTTTAAGAAATATGATTTAATGTATTATTTAGTTTGTTGTAAAACATAGAAATTTGCTATATTTCGTAATTAGTTTAATTTCATTAATAAATATGAATTAATACATGATTTAGTTTGCTATTGTGGATGTCTTTAAATTGCTTCAAACATACAGATTCAACTATGAAAAATTATGAAAAATTTCCTTAATTAGTTGAATTTTTTTGAGAAATATAATTTAATGTTTTATTTAGTCATAGAAATTTGCAGCTGTAACTTAAAGATTCAGAATGTTATTAACTAATTAGTATGTTTTAATCTAAATCTATAGTATTTTGTAATTAGTTTAATTTCATTAAGAAATATGAATTAATAAATAATTTAGTTTGTTGTGAATACTAGAAATATACGTGTTTCAGATATTTGTACAATGTGGACTTAAGAGTGTCTGGATGTCTATAGATTTGCTTAAAACACACAGATTCAGGATGTTATTAACTATTTAGAGTAGATACGAGGATGTGTTCGACTGTTTGATCGAAAGCGATTTGCTGTTTGCGTCACACAAACAATCCGATGATAAATAAAGAAAAGGGAAAACAAGCAGAATGTGGGAAAGTCTACTCTACTCACTTGGTGGCGATCGGTACGAGCGTCCAATCGTATCCTTTCAGCACTTTGGTGACGGCATCGTTGATTTCCGTCTTGTCCAGCGTCGTCCCAAGATCACCGCTTCCAGAAGATGCTGCTGCGGCTGCTGCTGCACCACCAGAAACCTGGCTGTGGCTCAAATTGTGGATGGAAGCGACCGCAGCCGCCGCGACGCTCGCCGCCGCCGTCGCCGTTATAGGCACAGTGTTCAACGTGTTCATAACTACTAATTAAAACAACAAAAACAACAACAACAACAGAAACAATCGAGTTCTTCCAAACAAAAGCGCACGTGATCCAATCGAACGTTGTTTTTATTATCGTACGTTCTTTGATCTTGACTTAAGCGCGACGTCGTCAAAATACGTGGACGCTCTGACACCTTCTGACACTGGAGGAATCAAAGAGCGCTTTGAGTTGTTGTGCAGACCCGAATCTCCTGCTGCCCGCATCCCATCACAATCCCCATCGACATCTCTCTCTCTCTCGCACTCACGTAATCCAGTATACATCTTTCGCTCTCGCTCGCATAGATTATGTGAATTGCATCGAGGTGGGGATGCAAGAAGCTACTTAAGTCGCATTCCGACACTCCTCATTGGGTACTTAACGCGGCCAAGAACGCCCACCGTCTCGTCCCATTGGCCATAGGCGATAGGCTACGTTTGCTCTTTTATTAATTTTACTTATTTTTTTTTGCTTTTGCCCCCTCATTCCATCTTCTTTCTTCTTCTCTACGCGAACAACAAATTAGCGCAGAAAAGTCGGACAAAAACATGTCACCATTTTTTTTTCTCATACGCAAGGACTGTTTTTCAACTTTTCAGAAAAACTAATTTCTTGGAAGACTTTTCAACATTCTACACATGAATTGCAAAGTTTTGACTAATTCAACTACATTTTTAACATAATCAAAAATATTTGTTAAATTAATTGTATAAAACTTGTTCAATAATCCAAAATATATGAAATTTAAGAAAATTTACAAACAAAAAATTTCAATTAAAAACTCAAATATTCACAAAAACGTGTTAATAAATTGATTATTCATTACAAAATAACAATTTACAAAACTAAAGATTCGTTAATATTCAAAGATTTTTCAAAACTTAACAAAATTCAATTTATCAATTTAAATTATACTCAAATTGTCTTAATTATGCAAGTATTTTATTATTTATACCTTATTCTAATTACTTTATTATTTAAATATTTAACTTTTCAGAAAAACTAATTTCTTGGAAGACTTTTCAACATTCTACACATAAATTACAAAGTTTTGACTAATTCAACGAAATTTTTAACATAATCAAAAATATTTGTGAAATTAATTGTATAAAACTTGTTCAATAATCCAAAATATATGAAATTTAAGAAAATTTACAAAAAAAAATTCATTTCAATTAAAAATTTAAATATTCACGAAAACGTGTTAATAAATTGATTATTCATTACAAAATAACAATTTACAAAACTAAAGATTCGTTAATATTCAAAGATTTTTCAAAACTTAACAAAATTCAATTTATCAATTTTAATTATACTCAAATTGTCTTAATTATGCAAGTATTTCATTATTTATACCTTATTCTAATTACATATTTAAAAGAGAAGGAAAAAATACGACAAAATTTTAAAAATATTGAAATTTTTTAAAACAAATAATTTTAAAAATTTGACTTTATTCAATGCATAATCAAATGTATACAACACATAATGTTTAGAGATGTGCAAGAAATTTGTAAAATTAAGAATTGAAATTCATTGTTAAAGCAAAAAATTAAAAATAATATTTATAATGATTGAAATCTTCTTATAGTTTGTATAAACTAGCAAATATTTTGCCTGTATTTACGTAATGTTTATTTTAGTATATTTACTCAAGCAAGTCTCAACTCGATTTTTCCATAACTTAAATTGATACATATTATTATTTTTTTTACTCATACTCATTCAGTTTGATTTAAATTCGACATTTCTTCAGTTTTAATGTTTAGTTTATTAGCAAAATTTATTAATGAATAAACAACAGAATTTCTCGTTATATTTTTTGTATTATGAAAAAAAAATGTTAAAATTGAAACATTTTATTTAATAACAAACATAAGGAACATTTTTTTTGTGATGTTGTTTACCTAAAAGTTTCCAATTACTTTAATTAATCGAAGTAGGCGATGTTAGTTAACGTTATTCAATTATCTTAGAAGATAAATTTGAATTATTTTTTTTGTGATTTATGAAACAATAAAGTTTTGTCAGTTTCATATTAGTTTAATTAATTAGTTGATGTAGAATACAGAAGTAATTTTCAGATTTAATTAAATAAGATTTTCAATTGTTTATTTAAAAAAAAAATGTAAAGTTGCATTTGTTTAACGACAATAGAATAACGTTTTGTTGTTGTTTTCGGATTACTTTAATTAATTAATGAATTAGTTGATATAGTATACATAAATAATTCAGCAATTTTTTAAAATTAGAGAAAATAAACAAAAATTTCAATAATTTTTGAACATTTGTTTTAAAATGGAATAACGTTTGTTATTTTCTGATTACTTTCATTAATTTTTTTAATATTTTTTGTAAATTTGCATTTGTTTAACAACAATAGAATAACGTTTAGTTGTTGTTTACGGATTACTTTAATTAATTAATGAATTAGTTGATATAGTGTACAGAAATAAGTCAGTAATTTTCGAAAATTTGAAAAAACAACATTTTTTTAAAATAATTTTTGTAAATTTGCATTTGTTTAAGAGTAGAATAACAATTAGTTGTTGTTTTCGGATTACTTTCATTACCTAATGAATTAGTTGGTATAGTATACATAAATAAGTGAGTAATTTTAGAAAATTTGAAAAACCAACAATCGTTTTCAATAATTTTTCTAAATTTGCATTTGTTTAACAATAGAATTACGTTTAGTTGTTGATTTCGGATTACCTTAATTAATTAGTGAATTAGTTGATATAGTATACATAAATAAGTATACTACACAATAAAAGCAACAATAAAATTCAATAATTTTTGAACATTTGTTTAACAACAGAATAACGTTTTGTTGTTATTTTCGGATTACTTTAACTAATTAGTGAATTAGTTGATATAGTGTACAGAAATATGTCAGTAATTTTAGAAAATTTGAAAAAACAATATTTTTTTTAAATAATTTTTGTAAATTTGCATTTGTTTAACAATAAAATAACGTTTAGTTGTTGTTTGGTGATTACTTTAATTTATTACTAAATTAGTTGATATAGTATACGTAAATAAGTATACTATACAATAAAAACAACAATAAAATTCAATATTTTTTTAATATTTGCATTTGTTTAAAAATGGAATAACGTTTTGTTCTTATTTTCGGATTACTTTAATTAATTAGTGAATTAGTTGATATAGTACACATAAATAAGTCAGTAATTTTAGAAAATTTGAAAAACCAACAATTTTTTTTAATAATTTTTGTAAATTTGCATTTGTTTAACAGTAGAATAACAATTAGTTGTTGTTTTCGGATTACTTTCATTAACTAATGAATTAGTTCATATAGTATACATAAATAAGTTAGTAATTTTAGAAAATTTGATAAACAAAATAATTTTTTTAAATAATTTTTCTAAATTTGCATTTGTTTAACAATAGAATAACGTTTAGTTGTTGTTTTCGGAATACCTTAATTAATTAGTGAATTAGTTGATATAGTATACATAAATAAGTATACTATACAATAAAAACATGAAAAAAAATCAATTTTTTTTGAACATTTGCATTTGTTTAACAATGGAATAACGTTCTGTTATTGTTTTCCGATTACTTTAATCCATTAATGAATTAGTTGATATAGTATACATAAATAAGTCAGCAATTTTAGAAAATTTAAAAAACCAACAATTTTTTTCAATAATTTTTCTAAATTTGCATTTGTTTAACAACAGAATAACGTTTAGTTGTTGTTTTCGGATTACTTCAATTAATTAGTTGATATAGTATACATAAATAATTCAGTAATTTTAGGAAATTTGTATAAAAGATTTCCATTTTTTTTTTAACATTTACAGATAAATTTTAACAAATTTAAGCATTTGTTTAACAATAGAATAACTTTTCGTTATTGTTTTCACATTACTTTAATTAATAATCAATTAGTTTTGAAATTTAAATTTTGCAGTTTTTTTTCATAGATTTGCGTTGGGTATTCTAAGAAAAAAAAAAGAAAAAATGGGAGAGTGGTCTTATGGGATCTTATCATGTCGTTAAATATATGAGATAAGCGTGGCGAAACGATTTGTTTGCTTCTTCGTAGGAGGAGGATGTGTTTGTATGCACCACACAAAGATGTTGAGTCTCGTGCCGAAATTGTTGCGTTCCTTTTCGGTGCACCTGTGGATACGGTGGAGAAGAAGCAGTGAGGAGGCGGCTCCTTTGACAGAGGAAATCCTTCGGCGTGGGAGTTCCACTGATATATCCGTGATTTATCGAAACTTCGCACATATTTCACATCACACATTCTTTCCTTTGGTTCCAGCAAACAAACCATTACTTCCTGTTGGAATTGTTAAAAATAATGAAGATTATGTTGACGATAATGAGGTGCGATGATTTTTGTTTTGTTTTGTTTAATTTTTGTTTCTTTGGCACGCTTCGATTTTGGCAACGGTACGAGGAGATGCGACGTTAGAGATTCGGGAGCGAGATTTAGCTTTTCGAGGTGGTTCTATTTAAATGGTCATTAGTGCGTCGAGATTCAGGTAGATGATAGTAGAGGTTCGGATATTATTTTAGAGAGGAAAATGTGTGTTTGTGTGTGTGCGCGCGGTTTGTGCAAGGAAGATCGACGCGTCGAAGAAGAGGACGAAGATGATGATGATGAAGACGAAGACGACGACGACATGCGTCACGGCGTCCGTTCCGGCTCATAGATGACAGATGCGGCGGCTCCACTGATCCCTCCTCTCCACCTCATTCTTCCTCCCGAGGAAGAACACACACGCACACATCATCATCATCAACAACATTTCGTGTCATCATCATTGCGTGCATGCCTTTGCCATATCCCAAGCGCACTCACTCTCTATCTCTACTAATAAACCCGACTATTACCGCTGCTCCTGCTGCAGTTTCGTGCTCACGCGAAGGAGTAGGAAGGACGGTGAGTTAGTTCGATCTTCATCTTGCACGTAACCATAACTCACGTTCACCAAAGAAACGTTGCATTGCGCATCCATCATCAAACTTTATTTTTACTTCTTCAATGTGGACTTCATCTCAGAACCTTATCAACCGTGCCCCTTCTGCAAATCAACATCCAACATAAATCGACCAACAACAACTATACACTAATTCCAAATAATTAAAATACGAATAAAAACAATAACTAATTTTGATTACTAATTAAAGCCAAAACTATACTTTGTATAATTAGTACACTAAAATAATTATAGCATTTACAATTATTTAGT